TTTGAACGTTAACATCAAGATTTTAAAGTCAATTCGAAAATGAACAGGTAACCAATGAAGCTGCTGCAGGACAGGGGGGATGTGATGAGAAGAAGGGGTTCTGGTGATGATACGGGCAGCTGAGTTCTGGACCAACTGAAGCTTACGGAGAGATTTATGAGTGAGACCAAAGAGAAGAGAGTTGCAGTAATCTGAACGAGATGTGACAAGGCTATGAACGAGAACAGCAGTGGCATGAGGGGTAAGAGAAGGGCGGAGACGGTTAATGTTGCGCAGGTGGAAGTAAGCAGACCGGGTGATGTTATTGATGTGTTGATGCTCTTTCAACAGACCTTTAACTGACTATAAGTAACTTTGCAAGAAAATGCCAGCTTACACTAACCCTAAACCCAAACCTCACAGTTTTATAATCAAGAATTAGTTGGAATGGAGATGCAATGTAACTTAATTCAACAAACAGACCATCAAAATAAAGTGTGATGGATAAATAAATAAAGTTTCAGAGTTTATTAAGCAATGATGGCTTGCTGATTTTCGTTACCATTACATACTGCATATAGTATGCAGTTCGTATGCAGTTTGTGTGTTAACACTTTATTTTGATGGTCAATTTGCGTTTTAGTAGACTGTCTGCTTAATAATAATAATAATATTAATAATAATACATTTTATTTAAAGGCGCCTTTCTAGCACCTCAAGGACACCGTACAATCAACAAGAGCAATAAAACAACAAGAGAAAAAATAAAATATACACAATAGTGCAGATAAAATTAAATATTAAAAGCCATCTTAAATAAGAGGGTTTTGAGTCTTGATTTGAATAGTGTGAGGAAGTCAATGTTTCTGATGGCAGGTGGTAGTGAGTGCCAAAGCCACGGAGCAGAGCGTCTAAATGTTCTGTTGCCCATAGTTGAAAGACGAGAAGAGGGAACAGACAAGTGGAGGGAGGAAGAAGATCGCAGAGTGCGAGAAGGAACAGAAATGTGGATGAGGGCAGACAAAAATGGAGGGGCGAGATTGTGGATGGATTTGAACGTTAACATCAAGATTTTAAAGTCAATTCGAAAATGAACAGGTAACCAATGAAGCTGCTGCAGGACAGGGGGGATGTGATGAGAAGAAGGGGTTCTGGTGATGATACAGGCAGCTGGGTTCTGGTGATGATACGGGCAGCTGAGTTCTGGACTAAATAAAGCTTACGGAGAGATTTATGAGTGAGACCAAAGAGAACGAGGTTGCAGTAATCTAAACGAGATGTGACAAGGCTATGAACGAGAACAGCAGTGGCATGAGGGGTAAGAGAAGGGCGGAGACGGTTAATGTTGCGTAGGTGGATGTAAGCAGACCGGGTGATGTTATTGATGTGTTGATGCTCTTTCAACAGACCTTTAACTGACTATAAGTAACTTTGCAAGAAAATGCCAGCTTACACTAACCCTAAACCCAAACCTAACAGTCTTATAATCTAGAATTAGTTGGAATGGAGATGCAATGTAACTTAATTCAACAAACAGACCATCAAAATAAAGTGTGACTGTTTGTGTTTCTGTTGTGAGACATTACACCACGAAACAACTGTACTGCATATGCAATTTCAATATCCAAACCATTATTCAGATTCACTACTCTAAAGTCTAACTTCTTCATCCTAATAAAAATAAAAAACATTTACATGCGACCCACAGCTGCAGTTATGAAGGATTCCACATGAAATAAAATGCATACAAAATCTCCACAATACAACTGATTGCAATTCAAGACATAACTCAACCTGACAGTTCTCTTGGGTCAACAGAGAAATGCGCCAGATTAAATTATACTTATTTACATATATTTAGAAAATAAAATAAATAAATACAATAGTGAGCACACAAACACACACACAAACACGGGCATGTCGACAGTTTAACAGTTCATTTTAGTGCAATGCAAATGAGCTGGGCTGTTTAGTGTAGGAAACCAGCAGCAGACTGGTACAAAGCATTTCTCCATGTGCAAATGCAGTATCTCTTTAAAAGGTCTGTCATAATAACTGAGGAAATGCTGACTCTGTTAAATGCACAAACGATGCACAGTTTTAAATGGCTGCTCTCTAAAATATCTTCCGGGGGGCTTATTAAACAGATTAGAAACAATAAAATGGAACTGGAAACATAGCAAACAATTCAATTAGTTAACTTTACAAACCTTTCAAATGATTCACTCGACAAATGAAAAGCTACGTATAAACACAACCACAGTACAAGATATTTTGGTAAATGTTTGGTATTAAAATCTCAGAGTGCAAATTGCTGCTCTAAAAGCATGTGTGACTCATTTGAAGGCACGCAAATAAATTAAAGCTGGGTCAGACTAGATTCCCTGAATCCTGTGTTCCTAATTGAGCTGTTTTTTTCCCCACTTAAAAGGCAAGTGAAATATCTAAAAGAAAAGGGAAGTTATTAGTTGCTCTTTAAATCCCCCAAAATAGTTAACAGAGAAACAACATTAGTGCAAATGCTGAGAACAAATACACTGACTGCCAGAATCAACAAGACGATGACATGACATCACCCACACAGTCCGTTATAACAGCATATACACCTGCACTGTTTGTCCAGCTTATATATTCACCATCCTGGCTCTTTGTTGGTGGAATTTCGCCCAATCAGATGCAGACTCAATACACTCATTTACCTACATTCACCTATGAACTAAAAAAAAAATCCTAACCCTGATCTTTAACTACTTTCAATTACAAAACTATTAACGTTTTACAAACTACACAACTTTTATATTGCCGGATTTCTTGCATTATTAGAACAATCATTACCCTGATTTATATATATATTTAAACTTGAGCTGTTTTAGTCCATATTTAATGGTTTAGCTGTTCAAAAATGGAAAATAACAATAACAGAATAATAAAAACATTTTGTTCCGTTCCAGGTTTTTCTACAGATTCGGAAACAAACTGCCCTGAGAGACTGTCACAGCAGCACATGCCGCTGGTGCTTCCTTTCATCATTTAAAGTCACCATGAAATTAGAATTGACAGTTCTTGTTGTTTTTATTGGAACATTGCAATGCTTATTAAATGAGTTATGCTGGGTTCAGGCAAGAATATATTAAACATGCTAGTCTTTCTATCGGGATGATATGAAGCTTCCTAGATGATGATGTTATCACCCACTTTAATACACTACAAGACAACTGAATCAATTCTTGCATGCCATCCCCCACTGTCTTTAACAAATTACTACAACACCCACACTTTCAGAATTGAAGGTGCTATAGTTGTCACTGTGACTATACCCTTTCAAAAGGTTTTCAGGTACTAACATGTACCTTTAAGATACAATATGGACCCATTATGTACTAATATTCAACTGCAAAATACCAGTTTGGACTCTCTAGGTCAGTGGTGCTCAACCCTTGTTCCTGGAGATCCACCTTCCTGCAAAGTTCAGCTCCAACTCTGATCAAACACACCTGATCCAATTAATTAGGACCTGAACAGCACTTGATAATTACAGGCAGGTGTGTTTGATTTGGGTTGCAACTGAAATCTGCAGGAAGGTCGATCTCCAGGAACAGGGTTGGTCACGCCTGCTCTAGGTACTAACACGTACTCTTTAATGGCCCATTTCCACTGAGTGGAACACTACGATTCGGTATGCTTTTATGGCCGTTTCCACTGTCAAATGGTATCAATAAGTTAACCGTATGGTTCGACTTTTTTTTGGGTATTTGAAAAGGGTACAACAAAAGAATACCAAAATGCGGAGCTAGACATGCAACTGAACACGATTGGTTTACAGAGAAGCATCACTAGCTCTTGCACAAGCAGAAGAATGAAAACAAAGAAAGCGCCATTTTTAAATACACAGTCAAGACAATACACCGTAATAAGATTAAGCCATGGTTAACCCGAGCTTAAACAAACCTTGTCGTCTTGATGAACAGCCATAAAGCCAAAAAGAAAAGCAAAATCTACTAGGGATGCACCGAATATTCAGCAACCGAAATTATTCGGAATAAATAAAAAGGCCGAATAAATTTTGCCGAACAATGCTGTTTTTAATGACGCAATCAAATAGTAACCCGCGTAGAGTGAGAGGTGCGCGCTTTATGCAGCAAACATGTCAGCAGTGTGGAAGCACTTTAAAGTGTCAGAGAAAAAGGCAAAAACGGCTGTTTGCAGACACTGTTCTGCTGAATTGTCCAGAGGAACGTTCTCTCTCTTCTCGCCCCCTTTGAGCAGATAACAAAAGAGATAAGCTCATCTGTGGCAGATGTCATACATTTACTTGCAGCACTAAAGCGTCTTTTAAACAAAGATGTTGAAACAGACCACGGAGTGAAAACAGCTAAAAGTGCGCTCTTAGAAGCTGTCAGTGCACGATTTAGTCAGGCGGACTCAGAACACCTGTACTTCATCGCGACTGTGCTTGATCCACGATATAAAGATCATTACTTGGATATGGGGAAAAAGCTGCGCACACGAGAAATGATCCAGGCTGAGTTGGACTTGGGAAAGCCGCTAGGTGTTGGAGACGGTCAGGTGATGCACAGCGCAGTAGATGAAAACAGCGCAGAGAGTAAACGGGCTCCTACTAAGCCGCGCACCGACAGCGAGAGACTGTTTAGTGCTGCATCTCATGACATCGATGAGAAGAGGAACCGACTTTCATGCGAGACAGCAGAAAAGCTACTTTTTATAAAGAAGAACCTGCCACTTTTCCGAAAGAAGTAGGCTAATTAGGCTTATTTCTAGGACAGTTATTCATTTGTTGTGGGTTCATCCACATTTTTTGCACTATTCAATGCACATTTGTTGTTGTAGACATACAGTTAAATTCTTTCAGCAGTCAGTTATAGGCCTAACATAGGCTATTCAAGAAGGGGGGCTTCAAAGATGGCCAAATAAAAATATTTTTTTATTTTACAAATTTATTTACTTTAAGTTATATTGTGCTTTGTTTGTAAATTATCTGCAGGAATGTTAAAAAAATGTTCAGTGTTAAATAAATATTTTTGAAATTGTATTTTTGTTATTTGATTTATTTCTCTGAAAAGCAACACAAAATAGTAAAAAGCTAATTTTTACTATTTAATTATTGTAATGGTGAAAAAATTGGCGAACTAAATAGAAAAAAAATGAAAAACACCGCGTTCGGTATTCGGCCTTCGGCCAAGCAATTCATTATTATTCGGCTTCGGCCAAGAATTTCATTTCGGTGCATCCCTAAAATCTACCCTGTGACCCGTTGTTGTTTACAAGGCCGTCTAAAACACGAGCGGTTTCACTCTCCCGAGAAAGCTTGCGTGCGCAATTATGTTTGAAATACAAACTTATTGAGCTGATGATAATAATGTGCACGTGATTACTGAAGTGCTTCTGGCATCCTTTCAGAAATGAACAAACGCGAGAGCGATGTGGGAAAAAACAAAGAAGAAGTCTGAAAAAACAAGAGCAAATGATTCGTTCAGCAACCTAAAACATGAACAAACTATAACGTTTGACTATTATCATCAGTATTTGGACTATTATGAACTCTGAATGACAGAATTACTTTCTAACAAGAGGTTACATGTGCTGGTGAAGATTAAAGATTTGCACTGACTGTCGGCTATATTCTGTGTTGTTTTCAAACCCAAATAAGGGCTAAATGTATGCTGTGTGTAGTTTTTCTTTAATTGGTAACATATCAGAGAGTGTAAGGGTCTGTATGTTATCATACATGTTGCATTTATTTATTTTATATAATAGCAGACAACACAGTAGGCTATTTACACGCACTTATTGATCTGCAGTTATAATCAAATCATGTTAGTTGAAAGGTTAGTAATGAACATTTATACACTTTATATAGGATATGTGAACGACCTGTATAGCTTTACTTTGATATTTTCTTAAGCGAGAATAACATTGAATGAAACTTTTTATCATACACCGTGCCACTGGTACCCTTTTGGCAGTGGAAATGCAGACCTGATAATGGCGACCCACTCACTGGAAACTGGCCATAAGTACAAAATTTAAGAAATAAAGAATTTGGTTTCTTTATTTCCAAGAATGTAATTTTAGATAGATTGCTTCAACAGGATTATATTAGAAAGTTATTTGTCATAATTATGTCACATATGACACTTTTTATTGTTCAAGAAAATATTCACTTAGATGTATGGTAAAATAAGAAAAAAAAAATTCATGGTGACTTTAAACATATATCATCAAGTTCTGCATTATGAAGTTTGACTCCATGTTGACTGCAACTCACAGCATTTCCCCTCTTCCATACTGTAGGTCATTGCTTGCCATTTACAAAATGGTGGGCTGGTTTAGTTATTTTTTTTCTTTTCTTTTTTTTTTTTTTAAATTGTGAAACATATTTCAAACATCAAGTTTCAATAAACAAACCTATCTCGAGTCTCAGCTTCCAGTTGTCCTCTGGGGTTTATGTGACTGGAAACAGTGATAAACCTGCTGGTGTTTTTCCCCAAAACAAAAGCTCTCGATCCTCCTTGTTATAGAGTTTAGCTTCCAGACTCTTTTCTAATGTTAAAAACCACAAACTTTTTGAATGTCATTAGAGGAATAAAAACAGTAACTTGATATTAGCCTGATGAGATTCCTCTAGTTAATAGTGCACTTAATAATGGTACTTTCTGAAGTTTCTTCAGATCCCACTGAAATGTCTGTATTGGCTAGAAGATCCAGGTGTTTAAGTCATATTCTGACACCATTGTGGTGCGTTCCCTCAGATGTCATTTTAGGTTGTCATTTTCATTCTCAAACAGGTCGAGTCCACTTTGCACAAGTTTCTGAGCTGAACTAATGGCGCTGTATACCAGATTCTGGGAATGGCTGATGCTGTTGTGCCAGGAAACCTCCAGGGCATCCTTTAGGATAGAGAAGCGTGGAGTTTGTCTGCTCAAACAATAGAGAATATTCCTGTGTGAGAGAACCAGAGAAAGAGAGAGTAGTTAAGACAGTATTTAAAGTCCTTTTTAAAAACCATGACACGATTTTACAGACAAATAATTTCTCCTCATGTGAGTGGATGGCTCTTTTGCTGTGTTTACACTAGTGCATATTTGTTTTAAAACAGCATTTTGGAATGAAAATTTTCTTCGCCCAGGCTGCTGTTTTGACTTACTTTCTCTAAAATGCATGATACATGACCATCCACACACACTGGTCTCGCACATATTTTGCTACAATCCATACTTACAGTGTACTGGTTGTGTTACTCAATTCAATCTATCTTTATTTCTATAGCCTTTTTACCATGTAGATTGTGTCAAAGCAGCTTAATACAGTTCTACTAAATTGAAATTGTGTCAGTCCAGTTTTAACAGTTAAAATTAAATTTAGTTCAGTTCAGTGTGATTTAATTTTCACTGCTGAAAGTCCAAACACTGATGAGCAAATCCATTAATGCGCAGCTCAACAAGTCCCAAACCAAGCAAGGCAGTGGCAAGGTGGTGAACAAAGCTTCACCAATTGACGAAAGTGAAAGAAAAAACCTTGAGAGAAACCAGGCTCTGTTAGGCACGACCATTTCTCCTCTGGCCAAACTTCTTGTGCAGAGCTGCAGTCTCTATGCCGAGGGCTGGAGAACGCTGGACGTCCATTGTGGAGAAGCTGAAGGAGTAAGGTATCGATGGGTGTTTAGGCTGGCCCACAAGATCAATGCGAAGACTCGTCTGTCACTGGGTCTTTCAGAACTCAGTCTCATGCTCTCCACTCCTTCATGATCACCACTGGATCTGCTCAGGATAGGGCCTGGTCCAGGGTTATGAAGACCTCTTAATGTCCTTTATGGTTGGCATCATCTCTTCACAGGACTTGGGATGCTGAGCATATATATTGTAAACATGCCTAAAAATGATCCTTGAAGCACCCCATACTTTACTGGCCTGACTAGTGAAAGCATTTATATTTACAAACTGGCATGACTTAAACCATTGTAAAGCTTATCTCTGGACACCCGTATTATATAAGCGATCTATGAGGATAACTTGATCGATAGTGTCGAAGGCAGCACTGAGGTCAAATAAAACTAGTAAAGAGATGCAGCGTCTGTCAGCAGCTAAAAGTAATGAATTGCGTATTCCCACTACCGCATTTTCTGTATTGTGATGAGGCTTGAAATCTGACTGAACAACTGTCGAAAGTAGCATGATTGGACAGAAACAACTTTTTCTAGTCTTTTAGCATGGCAATAAAAGACAACGTTCACCATTCTCCAATTCTCGTACTGCTCTCCTGACAAAAAAAGCTTGCTGCACACACACAGCTTTGCTGTATCAGCATCACGGGAAAAAACTTGGAACAAACCGCGTAGATCTTGTAAACAAACACATACGACCCTTCATTAACAGCTAAATACTGTGTGCCGTGGGTCCGTGTCGCACAGCTTAACACTGGCAGGTCTGCCTTGCCTTCAGAAAGCACGCACAGTCATGAATAATTAAGAAGTCTGCTCTTCTCATAGGATAAGAAATATCTGCTATGAATAATTATGAGAAACAGACGCGTCATCTTTGCACTTGCAGTTTTGCGCTACGTTGCGATTTTGATCCCGTCCCAAAAATCATTTTAAACCAGGAAGCTGAAATCAGCTGATAAAAGCTCCTAATTCTCCAGTTTTTCCCACAATTAAAGTAACAGGTGCTAACATTGTCTTAACTGATGCTCAACACACACAAATCTGTTAAAATTTGAAAAAAAAAATACTCAAGGTTTCGTGAACCTTGCCATTCCAGTCATCATACAGTAAACATCTGTCTTCTTCACATCAGTGACATGCGTCTCTGGGTCGATGAGTGTAAAGATTTTAGGACATCTTGGACACTTGTAATGCGTCCAAACAGTTTGCTGCAGTTATAAGTTGTCCATGTGTTGAGGTAGTTCATTATGATGCGATTTACCTTCTGTGTGATTTGATTAGACAGGAATCACAAGACTGATTATTCTAATACACATAAACAGAAAAAAATTAAGTAGTGACTCCAGATTGAAGGAAAGCAGTGGAGTACAGAACTGTACTACTCAAAGGAAACAAGGCATAATGGTATGACAGACCTGACAGCCCTTCACTCTAAACTATAATTTGAAGTTTTAGCCCCTCAATTTTGTAACCCCGACTCCCCCAAAGGTGAATACCCTACATCAGGGGTCACCAATCTCGGTCCTGGAGGGCCGGTGTCTCTTCAGGGTTTGGCTCCAACTTGCCTCAACACACCTGCCTGGATGTTTCAAGTATACCAAGTAAGACCTTGATTAGCTGGTTCAGGTGTGTTTGATTAGGGTTGGAGCTAAAATCTGCAGGACACCGGCCCTCCAGGAACAAGTTTGGTGACCCCTGCCCTACATCAACCTCTAACCCTAACCAGCTAGTGGCAAACGTCTTTCCTCCCTGCTTTTTTTGAGAAAAGACTATGTCAATCCTCAACTCTAAACCCAACCGACATTGTCTTTCGTCTGTTGTTCTTTTTTTTTTTTTAGAATAATTCACATCAACCCTGAACTCTAACCTCAACCGATACCATTTTCCTCTCTGCATTATTGAACAAAAAGCATGTCAACCCTCAACCTTAACCCTAATAGATATTGTCTTTTCATCCAGCAAATTTGAAAACGGTTTAGTTACGGTTTAATACTTTTACTAATATTTAATAATATTAATTTATTCATATTTGTTTCAGCTTAGTCCTTTTATTAATCAGGTGTAACCACAGCGGAACGAACCACCAACTTATGCAGCAAATGTTTTTTTTTTTTTTTAAGTAGCGTATGCCCTTCCAGTCGCAACTCAACACTGGTAAACACCGATACACTCTTGCATTCACACTCATAGACTAAGGCCAATTTAGTTTATTCAATTCACCTATATCACATGTCTTAGGACTGTGAGGGAAACTAAAGCACCCGGGGGAAACCCATGCAAACACAAGGAAAACATGCAAACTCCACACAGAAATGCCAACTGATCCATCCGGGTCTCGAACCAGTGAACTTCTTGCTGTGAGGCGATCATTCTATCCACTGTGCCACCACTAATATTAATACTATTTTTAATACTTTGACTCTCAGTAAAAACAACCCAGGTTTACCCTAAACTCTAAACCCAACTGATGTGTGTAAAGTGACACTGTGTGTAAAGGGGCTTTTTCCCTTCTGGGAAATTAGATTTTTTTAATCCCTAATCACTTGGATTATATAAATCTAAAAAAAAGGAGAACATTTTAATGTGCCTGCCCATAATTTGGGAGTTCATTCTCCTTACCTAACCCCAACCCTAACCATTTAGACTTAGATGATGTTTTATCCTTAACATGTTCTTTATAATTGCCTTTTCACAGTAGAACGGTTTATCTTGTTCACAAATAACCTTAATTTAATTAGATACTGCATATGATTTAGACGCAAAACATCACTTGCCTTTATTACGAATTAGTCAATATTTTTATAGTGCTTTATACATTGTAGATTGTGTCAAAGCAGCTTATAGAATTTCTAGTTAATTGAAACAATTCAGTCTAATTTTCAGGGTTCAATTTAGTTTAGCGTATTATACCTTTACATACAGTAGACACGATTTGAAACTTATTGGGCTTGCAGGATTTATGATGTTATGTTCAAGAAGCATGACTTCGAAAATCCAAATCTTTAACTGCAACATAAGGCCTGTTAAACTACTGACCTACACTAATACATTGTGCAGGTTGTTAAATCATGCTCATTTTCCAAACGCACAGTAATCCTTTTTACAATTTTAATCATATCCTCTTTACACCAACCGTTGCTGGAGATCTTAGAACTCTCCACAAAATCTTTGAGATATTGATCTGGGCTCCCTGGTAACACCACATACTTTGTTTTTAATGGAGAAAGGAGTTCACATGCTCAGCAGCAACAAATCGAGTTTAGCGAACACAACGGAGTCCCTGTGTGGGTCCAGATATCATCTGTTCCATGTCTACTGAATATTGGCATTTATTTTATCAGTAGGAACAAACTCTCCAGAGTGTCTGCGAGTGCTATTCTTCCCTTTTCAGCCAATCAGGCCAAAGTTTTACCTGAGGCCTGACTTATTGAGGAACATGTAATGTTGGAGAAGACTTTTCAATAATGATAACACAAAGTCTATTCAAGGCATAGTTCACTCTAAAAATGGTTTAAAATATTCAAAAGCATCTAATAGTTTTGTTGGAGGAAACAACCAAAATTTATCTGTGTGATTTAACCCTCCTATTATACTTGGGTACCCCATTCAATGTTAAACGTATGTGCATACATAACTGACATATTTTTTCCCCCCTTCAGATTGAATGGCTTTTTTAATTCAATGGGGAAAACTTGGTAAAAATAAAATTAACATGAAATTATTTTTTTAATGCCCTGTACACATTTTGTCACATCGGTGTTCTTTAATAATAATAATTAAATAAATAATTCCTTACATCTATATTGCATTTTTCTGGACATGCAAACGCGCACAAGTACACACACGCGAACACACACGCACACACACACACACACACACACACACTAGAGATGCGTGGATGGCGGTTATAGCTGCAGAATCCGCAGATAAACCGCGGATCGGGCGGATGACGTGACAAAAAATAATATTTTAATTAAATTCGGGCGGGTGGTGGGCGGTTGTACTGTTTTTGTACACATAGCTGGTGCACCAACGAAAAAGCCTAGGACTGACTTCACAGAATGAGAGGAGGAATCGGATACACTAATTCTGGATGAAGTACAGAAGTCTTCCTCTACAAAATTAAGAATAGACGGATCAGCAGAGGAAAATCTACTTTCCTTTTGGGAGAAACAAGGCAGTCATTCCCATGTCTACAGCACCTTGCCAAGAGAATTCTATGCATTCCAGCAACAAGTGCTGTGAGCGAGCGCTCCTTCAGTGCAGCAGGGCGCATTAG